GGAACTGATTTAACAAGAATTAGGGGACTTTATTTCATGGGTTTCTTGTTATTGTTGCTGCTTGAAAAATACCTTAGAATTGTGCGACTCCTCACAGAACAAAAGTATGGGCTTCCCTCGCTGGTCTGGTTTAGGGAAAGGCACTCGGTCATGGTACGACGGTGCCAGGCGTCAGCACTGTCCCCTGGGCCATTTGGGGTTTCCTCTTGTACTAAATCGTAGAGTTCAGGGGCTACGGATCGTCTTTTCGCTCCGCCCGATGGGATCCTCGCCCGGGACCACGGCCTCCAAGTGCAGAGGTGATCCAAGGGCGCGCCAGGCGACTGCCCCGGACCGGCAGGTACCACAAAAGCAGCTAAGCTGACTGTTCTCAAGCTCAATGTAACATTTCTTGAACAACCAAATTTTGCTGCCTCCCAGTTGCACACAGTATAGGAGATTAAAAGAGAAACACGGACCAGCAGTTTTAGTACTTGAAAATTTTATTTTCTCAAATGAGCACCAACACATATTGTAAATATGACAAACAATACGCCTCCCTCTAATACTGAAGAACTATATACAATGTACAAATACATGAAAAGGTGAAAACCAATTATTTGAAAACAAACAATTGCATTTATTACTGAAGCAAATGACCTGAAAGAATATGCCAAAAAATAAAATTAAAATAAGATCAAAGAAATAAAAGTATACACAATTTGTAAACACAAGAGCATCAATAGACAGGCTGGTATTGGAAATATTATCCTTTAGTTTTGTCAGTGGGGAAAGCATTCCCATTTCCTTATGAAAAACAAAACGAAGGATACATACAGTTTGTAACTATGAGAATAGCTTATCTGTGGTTGTACCTTACACAATGCCATTCTGCTTGCATTTAAATATGCTGATTTTTTTTTTTTTCTGAATTCAAGATGATTTTGTTTCCCCTCTTCTGCTTACTCTTTTGAAACAGGATTCTGCAACATCTACGTCTATATCTATCTATGTAATCTATGTCTATAACGTAATTGTTTCTGAGCATTTAATTTCTGAGGCCTCTCACCTGGTGAGAAGAGCTCCTTCCCACTGAGCTGAGCTCTGGTTCTCGCCAATCTGTTTACCCAACCGGGTTTTTGGGTGTCATCTCTTCATCCAAGAACTGGTTCACACGGAAACATGATGCTCCTCCCGAAACGAGGGAGTGCAGTGAAATGCATGATTAACACACTCTCACATACCCGTTAGAAAAATGCATACAGAGAAAATTCTCACTTGATCATCACAAGAACAACAGATTTCATTCGTAGGGTGGTTTTTTTCTGTATATTTTTAAATCGTGTGCACCAAAAACAGAGAATTAAAGAGCGTGCAACAGTTATTCAGCACTGAAAACAGCTCCTTGCTCAGCAAAACACAGTCCAGTGGTTTGTGCTGTTGGTCCACTTTGGGATAAACAAGAGACCCGATGGATTAAGAACGAAGAAGGGGGAGAAGGGGGGTCAAAGACAGGAAAGAAAACAAAAAAAAACTTTACTGCCAGAGAGGTAAACTTTTACTCTAATTTGTTATGTAGCAGCCTGGTTTAAAAAAAAAACAAACCCAACAACAACAAAAAACCCAAAAGAAAACCAGGATCCACGTCCAAAGACTTATGTTTTAGTTTAAAAACAATGACTAATTAGAACTCTCCATCCTCCACCCCTGCTGCCCCCAAGCAACTGGAAACA